ACTCTTCATTCTGTACTTACACATTAGGTTCGGAATCCAACAACTTCGATCCAGACTCCGTCCCTACTTCATCTGTAAAAAGAGAAAGAGCTAGTTCATTTAACTCAGTACGGTAAAACTCAAAATATATGCGTGAGGTGCAACAATATAAAACCTTATGCCTTTACCAATAGTTCACTACTGAACACTAAATTTTCCTCCTGCACTTACAACTCTACCTACCCTAGGTGTCCGTTCCCTGACGGCACTCTAGGCGTACCAGTGGTACCATTCACCGCCAAGATTTGGCAACCGTTAACACCTATCGACCCCTAGTGGCCACACACGCACACTAGTTTCAATCATTTTCGTCACCATCAGCGGCGACCATCATTCATCTATCGACCCCCTATCAGGCCACACACACACACTCTAATCCTTCTCTCCCGTCACCACCATCGGCGACCGTTCGCCATCTCACGACCTATACCAGGCCACTCACATACCCGATTTTCCTTCACTTGCGTCACCAACATCGGCGACCGTTAGCCATCTCTCGACCTATACCAGGCCACTCACACACACTCTGACCATTCCCTCTCGTCACCGATATCGGCGACCACTAATCATCTCTCGACCTATACTATGTCAATATACAAGGCTATATCTTTATTTTTTTTGGAACTAAAAAGTATAAAATGTATCATTAATAAACAGACACCAAAGGGGTGCCAACCCGTGTACAAAATGTACAAGGCTATATCTATTGTATGTTTGCAAGGATGCTGTCACCTTTGTTGCCTCTATTGAGTCATTACTATACTTACTAGCCTCATGAATTGTAAGCCTTAAAAGACTTGGTTCTTAGACCTCATCATTTTTTTAAAAAACTTTTTAAAGTGTAAAAAATTCTAAGTTAATGTTTTCTTTCCTTCTATAAAAAGAATGTTTTGATGATCTTGAGCTTAGAAATTTTGAGGTAATTTTTGTGCTAGGATCTTGATTGATCTATTCTCTGTTACTATATGCTGAAGCAGTAGTCAGGCTAGCTAAAATTCGTGAATTTTCTCAGGCTTCTGTGTATTCTTTACTGCAAGCTGCAACTGAGATTTCATCCAGAGGTGATGGTAGAGACAGGGATGTAAATGTTTTTATCCAAAGGAGGTACTTTGTGATATGTATTTCTCTTCTTGCATTTAGCTTCCCATAAGCTTCTTAGATTTATGCTTGCCTCGTGGGACTTCTTTTTATTAATTGGAAACACCTTTAATGTTTAAATATATGCTTTCCTAGACTGGAATTTAGGGTATTAACTATTTAAGAGAACCTTCTTTTCCTTCAGCATATCCTTTCCCAAGTGGATGGTAATTTCAGTAAATTTTTTGAATGACTACTGACATAAAATTTTGGTCTCACATGAATAGAGATTCTGACTACAGAGTCTTAAGCTTTTAAAAACATGCATCTTGGACATCACGGTGTCTTTTACTTAATTGACATATCAACAGAAGAGAAAGCCAAACAAGCTGGAAAAGAACTCAACTCTATCTTCAATGAATTTCAGTTGAACTGTATGTGGTAAAATAGTTATCATTGTTGTAGTAGTAGTATTTGGCACAAGCTTGTACCTTCCCTTAGTTGTGGAGTCTGAATATCTATTCATTGTTATTTGACTGTTCAACAATATTGTCTTCAAAATACAAATGAACTCAGTTTCCTTAAATTCTCGTTTGTGTTCCCATTTTCATCCAGTTTACTACGCCAGTCGGCTCCTCTCGAGACCATGATCAGGGACGAATTATCAGCCAAGCAACCTGAAGCTTATGAATGGTTTTGGTCCCAGCAAATCCCTACGGTGGTGACATCATTTGTAACTTACTTTGAGGGGGATGCACACTTTCTGGCTGCCACCTCTGTGTATGTCATCAGCTCAATGTTTGTCCATGCTAAAAGTTCCTGTGAAACAATTGTTTGATTGTGAGGTTCATGCAGAAATAATGTTGCTTCATGTTTACATCCAGGGGTGGGAGAGGCAAATTGTTGAATGAAGGCACTGAGAAAGATATATCACTTCTCATGCTTGCATTGACTTGCATTGCTGCGATTACAAAACTTGGCCCAGCAAAAGTTTCCTGCCCACATTTCTCTTCAATGATTCCAGAAATAACTGGTAGATTGATGGACATGTTGGTTGATTATGTTCCCATTGCTCAAGCTTATCATTCTTTGAAGAATGTTGGTCTGCGCAGAGAGTTTCTTGTCCATTTTGGCCCTCGAGCTGCAGCATGCAGAGTGAAAAATGACCGGGCTTCAGATGAAGTCACTTTCTGGGTGGATCTTGTACAGAAGCAGCTGCAACGGGCGATTGATAGGGAAAAAATATGGTCAAGGCTAACAACATCCGAAAATATTGAGGTTAGTGCGAGGGGTTACATATATGTATTTAGAGAGAGCTCTAGGTTCTTCAGCCCTTCTGGTGTTGACTTCTGGTGGAAAAGTTCAAACTTAAATTGATATTTGAAGTAACTTGATCTTGCTGCCAACATTTTGCTTATGAAGATGACATGCATCATTTGATGCGTTTAAGAATCTAATGCAAACTAGCTCTTTATGCACTTTGCATTTGTAAATGTACAAAATTATGGTGAGGACTAAGGAAGAGTACAGAACAAATATGATAGTAACTGACTTATTGGTTTTTCTGTGAAAAAGTGGTTAGGATAATTGAGGAACATTTTAGATATGAAGGAAATAAGATACATTGATTTAGGCTTTAGATCCTCTTAAATCACTTTTTTTTTTTCATGGGACTGCTGGAATGGTAAAATATTGTCGAAGCAATATACAAAAATAAAAGAAACAGCCTTGTATTGGAAATCATGATGAGATCTGTGAAGGTAAAAGCAAATAAGCATAAGCCTGTTGAATTGGTTAGTAGACCGATATGATATCAACTTCTCAATTCCATTGGACTTGCTGATTTCTTGCAGGTTTTGGAGAGGGATTTGGCTATTTTTGGATTCTTTATTGCCTTGGGGAGAAGTACCCAGTCCTTTTTATCTGCAAATGGATTTGACACTATTGGCGATCCCGTTGAAGGCTTTATTAGGTATCTTTTATTGTATAATTTCTTTCCTATTCAAATTTGATATTGCTTTCTATAGTCTGCTTGTGTATTCAATTATTTTGGTTCTCCATCATAGGTACCTTATAGGGGGCAGTGTGTTGTACTATCCTCAGCTTTCATCAATAAGTTCTTATCAATTGTATGTAGAGGTCAGCTTACATAGATTTAGTCATTTACTGAATAGACATCATATTTCTTTTCAAAAATTTGATACTTCAATCTCATTTTTTATTTTATAGGTTGTTTGTGAAGAGCTAGATTGGATTCCTTTTTATCCAGGTATCCTTGGCACCCCAAAGCAGCTACATGGCCATAGAAATAAACGAGAAGGTCCTCCCAATGCTGAAGCTATCCCACAAATGTTAGATGTTTGCTCTCACTGGATTCAGAGCTTTATTAAGTACAGCAAATGGCTGGAGAATCCTTCCAATGTCAAGGCAGCAAGATTCCTATCTAAGGGGTAACAAATCTTATGGTTCATTAAAATGATCAAATGATAAAGGCTGAAGCTTACCCAAATAATGGTAGTAAGACTATCTTTCTTTAATGTTTAGGCATAACAAGCTAGTGGAGTGCATGGAAGAATTGGGGATATCAAAGTAAGTAATAGAAACCAAAACGTAACTCTTCTCTCTCTCTCCCTCTATCAGAGTAAGTATAACCAATGACTACCCTTTGTTTCAAGCATTAACACGGCTCCTGTGATGGTGGTGATAAAAGAGCATGTGTGCAGACCCTGTGATGCAGGTGTTAGAATTTGACATTTCCTTCAAGTTTAGCATGTGCTATAAGCGGCACTTAGAATGTTGAGAGTGGAAGGAAATACTGGGAGACCTGACATGAAACTCTTAGGAAAGACATGAAATGCTGAAACATTTTGAGCAAGCTTAATGTGAAGATGCTAGTGTAAGAACTATATAGGGATATGCACATGTTCCACCAGATCACAGATGCTAGCATGCTACTACAATAGGCAATTCTGTGTTTTAGAAAATTACCTCTTTCATCTTCCAAAAAAAAAAGAAAATTATCTCTTTCTTTTCATGTTGGACCAAATGAGAGGAACTACTGATTCCTTCCAGATTAATCTTGATTGACATGATGTAATGGGTCTTCATTAGTTTTTCTGAAATTTGCACTGGCAGTGTGCTCAATCTGATTAATTTTTTTTTTTTTTTTCTCCATTGTAACTATGGTAGAAGAGGATTTAATCCATGCCTGTCCAGAGGGGGTTAATCTACTGTAGAAAAGATCTTTCTTAGCATACTAATTAATTTTTTTGTATCCTTGGGCTCTCTGATTATTGCCAGCAAAATACCAAATATTTTGTTACACCTTAATTATATAGTTCAGGCTCATAATATATTTTGGCCTAAAAGATTTTTTTTAAAAGAGAAAAGTTAAGATACCAAGGTGCCTAATTAATATTTCTTTTAATTTCTCTTGATCTGTTCGGGATGTCTGACTCCTTGAGTGTGGACAGTTCCTTTTGATAATTCTGGCATTATTTAATCCATTTCGATTGAATTTCTTGAATTATGTCTTTGATCCTTACAAAATTATATTGAGAATATGCATAGTATTGAGGAGACATAGTGCTAAATGGAAGGTGAGGAGAGGAGATAGGGTTCTGATTTGGCAGGATGATTGGATTGGAAGGGGTTGTCTTATGAATCAATTTCCATAGATTTTTGTCATAGCACAAGCGAAGAATATGTTTGTGGAGGAGGCTTATGGGGAAGGCAATGATAGAAGGGAGTGGTCTGTGAATGTGACGAGAAACCTCAATGACTGGGAGATTGAAGAATATGAAGCTGTATTCCAACTTTAGGCCACTACTCAATTGAATGATAATGGTGTGATTTGTTTAGAAATTGAAGAATGGAGTTTCCACAGTGAAATCGTTTGATAAGCACTTGGTTAGTAATGTTGAGGAGGGAGGGCTAAGGTTCCCAAGCCAATCAGATTTGGAAGGTGAAGGCCCTGCCTAGAATTGCTTTCTTTGTTTGGGAGGCGGGTAGGGAATGTACCTTGACTATAGACAAGTTGATGAGAAGGGAGAGGACTATGGTAAATAGGTGTTACTTTGCAAGAGTGCTACTGAGTCGTGCAACCATATTCTTTTTTGGTGTCCGGTGGCATATAATCTTTGGGTTATAATCTACGATTTGTTAGGGATTAATTGGGTTATTACAGGGTCAATGAGAGATTGACTATTTTTTGGATGATTTGAAAGAGATGAACAATAGGGTTTTTGAAGGAATTGAAGAAGAGTTATATAAAATTAAGGATATATGGTTTCATATTTTGGGTCTTGATTGATGTTGGGCCACATGATTTTGGGAACATTGTTGATATGCTAATAGATCTGTAAATATTCTGTAAATTGGTGGCACCCTCATGGTACTGTTGATTTGATATACATCTTGTACTTTTTATTTAAAAAATAATAATTATATTAAGAATATAGCCGTTGTAATAATCTTGTGATAGCGCATAGCCATCATAGGATTTATTTATTGATATATTATTTTTAGTTTATTATCTAAATGTCTTATTAGAGTTTGGAGTTTGTTTTTATTAGTATTTATTTTTCATTTGTGTTAGAATTAATATGCTTAATTCTTGTTTGAAAAAGTTACCGAGAGATTATTATAAATAGCTTTGTAATTTTATTTTATAATCATCCAAGTATTCATTCAATAATCATTTTTTAAGAATTTCTCATAATTGATTATGTGATTCAACAACCCTTGGGTGTGATACCTAAGAATCCTAGGTGTTTTTTACTCAATTTCTTAGTAGGCAAAGTAACCCTAATTTGTCCTGTCTATCATCATGGAGATCATGTTTTCCTTCTTTGTCTCACAAGTCATACCTTTGGGATGGTGTTTATTAATAGGTCTACAGGTCTTTTGTTTAAAATGGTTAGAATTCTTCATTATACTCCTTTCAGCGTGTGCAGGGGTGGAGTTTTAGAGTCCAGTTCTAATGAGATGAATGGATTGACAAGTGACAAAGAATCAGATTCATTTGACAAGGTTGGCTCTTTTCTCCTTGTACTTTCAAATAAGCTTGTTTCAAAATGCACACCAAGTAATTTGAGGGCTGAAGTAAAGACATATGTTTCTTTTTTTTTTTTGGGATTCTAGTTGGATCCTTAAGATTAGCTTGTATCTCTTGTTGCAAATGGGACCCTGAATTGTGTGATCTATAGTTCAGCTGAGCAACAGGATATTCACACACAACATACCGTGTTAATCATGATGTGAACTGCTAAAAATTGCTATGAAAATGATTTTTAATAGAGTTGTTTTGAGGTTGAAGCAATATAATGTTTGATAAAACTTACTGTAATGCTGATCATATAAAATGTGATATTATGTTTGTTTAATTTTGTTACAAAATTAGTATTAAATATGTATTGATGTGTTGGGGTTTGAGGATACAAATACAAGAGGTATGCACTTTGTAAGAAGAAACTTTAGAAAAATCCTAATTAAAGGACAGGCCTTGGAGAGCCTCTGATTAAGCAATGATGCTGATATTTGGTTTCAGGCCTTGAAGAGTGTTGAAGAAGCTCTGATCAGACTGGAAAAATTGCTTCAAGAGTTGCATGTATCAGGCTCTTATTCTGGAAAGGAGCATCTAAAAGCTGCATGTTCTGACCTTGAGAAAATAAGAAAACTGAAAAAAGAGGCTGAATTTTTGGAGGCATCTTTTAGAGTCAAAGCAGCTTTCCTTCAACAGGTTTAACTTTCATTTTCCTTACGTTTTTTTTTATTGAGTACTTTATAAACTTCACCTACTGATTGCTGTGATCTGTAGCACATTCAGCTTGCTCCCATTTATCAGCACCCTTCTTAAAGGATGGTGAGATGAAAAGAAGATTTTGTTGTGGAGTGACATTTTTAACTGTGTCCATGTATTTTTACATGCTTAAATGTTGTGATTTTTCATTGATGAATATTCCTTTGTGTTAATGTTAGTTATGGTCATAATGTAACAGTTACATAGTTGAAATTTGTGTATAAACTCAAATTTCCTTTATCAAATAGGGAGATGATGACAATGATCCCCAGTCTTCAGTTGGTGGGCAGCAACAGTACAGCAATGACAAAAACAAAAAGAACACAATCATAATGGACAGAAGCAACAGGTCGGAAACTTGTCTTATAGACCATAGCTTTTGCTTGCATGGACTGAAGTTTCACATTTGATTCTAATGTTTGTCTATTCATTGTCAGCTATTTTTTCGCTTTCCTGAGCCTTAGTTCGTGCTATATATGTATGTATTTTTTCCAGAGTTGTTGGCAAGTCTAATGGACTATGGAGCTTCTTTGTTCGTGCTCCAACCAAGAAGGGTGGCTCTGCATTATCAGCCGTGGATAAATCTGTAGGCCTGTTTTATCAATTTGTCTATCACATTTACTGTTTATGCAGTTAACTTTTGGCATTATTACCACATTCTCTGTTTGTACGTTAGCAATTTCTTGTTAACTATATGCATTTCTGAGGGATTGTTCTATAGCAAGTTGAGGAGAAGCAAACATTTATGACCAATTTTTATCAATTATTCTTCTAGTCTAATTAGCATAAGGTAATAGGATATTACATTAACCTGGTTGAACCAGTGCTGTTGTTATCTATGATTTGTCTGGTCTTATATTTGCATGCTTTATACTTCTCTGCTCTAAAACTGTGCCATCAGGCCCATTACTTTCTTTTCTACAACCAAAAAAAGAAAAGTTAATTTTCTTTTAATGACTCTTTTTTGTTTTTGAATTCTATAAATATCTTTTTTTTACTTGCTTGATATTTCCATGCACTAAACTAGTGATGGTTATGGTATTATGTGCTCTGGTGTTGTTGCTCATTTGGTTCTATAGTTTATGGGAATGATCCTTTATAATAATGTGCTTTACTTGGTTTATATAACGTTGCTCCATGGGGATCCAGCATGTATTATGCTGCTAAAAACCGGTGTGGTTTTGTTGAAATAAAATGTAACTGGAACTTGTTTGTTGTATGTAGGGAAATGAACTTGCTGAGCAGACTACTACAAGTATAGGCTCAGAATCAAATGAAATCCTTCGCTTTGAACTGCTAAGGAATGAACTAATAGAACTTGAAAAACGGGTGCAAAGAAGTGCCGAACAATCAGAAAATGAGGAGGTACTTCTGAACTGACATCTTCTTCATGACCTTGTAATTTCATTATTGTTGGATGCACCACTCTTGCTCAGATTGTCTCTGTTGGCATGATTCCTTTCCCTGCCTTTCTTGTTAGCTTTCTTTTTCAACTTTTGCAGGATATTAGTGTTACAGCAGACCATCCTGATTCTAACAATGACATAGGTGCTCAATTGGTTCAGAATCAGAAAAAGGAAAACATAATTGACAAATCACTTGTCAAGCTAAAAGAAACTACCACGGTATGAATGTCTTCCACCTTTCTCCTATTAGTTTTAAGTGATAATAATGATGTAACTCTGGCTGTAGGTCATTACAAAGATGTGGTGAAACCTTCACCTCATAAGTTTTAAGGTGATGGCTCCCAGTTGGAGAATGCTATTTGGATTCAAAAGGAATAAATCCAGTAGCCTGCATAGCTGATTCTCTTTCTTCCCTCCATCTTCCCTGGCTATTTATGTCTAGTTATTTCCTATTATTCTCCGGTTCTCTTCGAAGGTCAATGTAATTTTATCTAATAGGCTTGAACAATTATTTTTCATTTTTATAATTTTATGTCTTAAGTTGCTTTCATTGAAAAAATATTAGTAGACATATTCCTTATTTCCTTCAGAGATCTCGTCACATTCCATGGAAATTCCTTTTCTGTTTCAACACATTTGCTGATTTAATGAATCAATATCAAGTTTTAGGATCTTTTTTTCCTAGTGGATTCTCTAAGCTCTTAGTTGCCTGAATTTCACAACACCTAACACTGTAAGGATCTTTAGTTTTCTGGTTGCTGCAAAAACTTCTAACTTTTGCTCTAAAGGACAAGGCTGCTTAAAGTCTTGCTATCTGTGCAGTGTGTTGATCAATACTATACACTTGGCTATTTTGTCTCTTTGACTGTGAGCATCCTGATGCTATATGTTGTAACCAATGAGCAGGATGTCTGGCAAGGAACCCAGCTTCTGGCTATTGATGTTGCTGCAGCTATGGAATTGCTGAGGAGGGTCCTGATTGGGGATGATTTGACTGCGAAAGAAAAGAAAGCTTTGCAAAGAACAATGACCGACTTAGCCTCAGTTGTTCCAATTGGTGTTCTAATGCTTCTTCCTGTAAGTTTAACTGAAATTCCGGGTGTCAATTTTGCATGGTCTTATGTATCTGTCATAGAATTGCACTTTCAACTTTGTTCCGTCAGAGTGTCCCATCTTTTTATTTTGAGAAATTAATTAACTTTTAGATTGTATCCAATTAAGCGTCAACATAACACTTTAATTAACAATGCCATGTGGCAAAAAAATTTCATATTAGCATTTTAAGTGCCATGTGTCAAAAACAAAAATTTGCTTAATATCTTAAACAAGACTAGTTTCATTTAATTACCGAAACAAAAGTTTTGAGAATAAAAAAAACACATCTAATTTATTAAAATCAAGTTTATGGTACAATAGTTGGTATACCATCTTGTTACTAGCTTCTATATCTAATTTGTGACAATTTTAAATATTTAGTATTTGAACTCGTTAGTTTATTGATAATTTTTAATCTTTTTGTTTTGATAATTAAAAAAAGTTTGTCACACTTTTTTTAAGATACTAACATGAAAAAAAAAATTTCACAGGTGGCATGTAGGCGCTAGATTTAGCACCATTAGTTAAAAGTATTAATATGTTCACTTAATTGACACAATCTAAGACATTAGATTCTTAATTGCTCAAAATAAAAAACGAGGCACTTAATTTATTTTAAAGAAAAATGTAAGAATTTAGGTGATATGGAAAGGAAAATATACCATTTAGCTGTTATGAATGCTCAAATTGAACTGGGAGAGTCAAATGATGGAATATTTTGTCATTGAGTAGTGTAGTTTCTCAATGGAAAAGTTCCAAATCTCATATACCATTCTCCAGTCATTTCATTGTAATCACTATCCAGATTATAAGTCCCCTTTGTTTTTTCAAATATGCAAATTTGAAACTGGACGGTTCTTAATTTACTGGCCACAACGATTACAACTGTTAAATAGACTGAAAAAGAGATGGAAGAGAAGTATCACCTCTATGGTTTTGTTTGTATCTACAGTGATTTCTGATGCAAACCTATTCATGGTTACCATCTACATTCCAGAAGATTGCTGCTTGCATTCCCCACTTTTGTTAAAACAACTCTATCCTTGTCTTGTTTGATCTTATTGACTTCCTCCTGACGGGTTGGTCAACTTTTACAGGTTACAGCGGTTGGGCATGCTGCCATGTTGGCTGCTATCCAGAGATATGTACCAGCTCTGGTGTGTGGTTGACCAAGTTGTTCTCTTTACATCTGCTAAAATCAGTTGTTCAAAGTAGCTTAACAGTATCCGTTTTATCAGATACCTTCCACATATGGTCCAGAAAGGTTGGCTCTATTGAGGCAGCTTGAGAAAGTTAAGGAAATGCAAACCAGTGAATCGGACCCTGAGGAAAATGTAGAAGAATAGCCTGAGTACAACCCGGTTCCAATTATGAACAGGCCTCAAGTTTTAGACAATTTTCTCAATGAGTAAGGCTAAGAATTTGTTTATCTTTTCCTCTTCTTGTGTGTCACCTAGTTCTATATCCCATTGACAGTAGCTGAGCATAGAGAAACTCATTCCATGTGTCTGGAACTCCAGGTAGACACCAATGGCTGCAGTCTTGAGGAGCGTCAGGAGGGGTTCCTGGCTCTCGATAACAAGAAGGATGACCATCTTTCCTGAACTCAGTCAAATACGTTATATTCAAGAACTGAACTTTTCTGTTTCCATATTCCATATTTTTGATTGCATCTGAAATGTATTTATTATGCAAGGGCTCTGGTTCCAGCTTTGTGTAATTTGTTTCCGGTTCCTTATCTGCATCACAGAGACCTCCTCTGTTCCACGTTCCATTCCTGTAATTTCACATGTGGAACTCATTGCTATCAATCAAGCCTTGTAAATCATCTTTACTAATGGGAATATTTGTTTGTAGTGGAGTAATTTTAGACTAGTTAAATTACAAATAGGAAGAGAAAAAAATCTCTGGTCCAATTAACATCATTTTTGAGCTTCCAAAATATCTACTTTCTCATATTATTCAATTATTTTTTACTTGTAGTACCTGTAATGCACTGGGGAATAGCCACGGAAGATAACATGACTTTTTGTAGGATCCAATTTTTCCATCACCCAAGTCCTCCAAGTCTGTATGGACCTACGGAATGCTTCCATCACGTCCATCGTCGTGTTTATCTTCCCTCTTTCCTGGAAAAATACTCCCCTGAAAATCCTAGTTTCTCTTCAGTATAAATCATTATTGGGCAATGAAGTCCAAAGAAGAACCAAAGGAACAAATTCAGAAGTTACATACATTTTTAGGGTTTTATCTTCATTCCACCAGTGCCCTGTATTGAAAACAAGAACATCTACTCCCACCCACTTCGCAGATTGCCACTGGAACTCATCCACCCGAATTGTCATCCGAACCGCATCGGATGAGTTCTGTGGCGGCCGGCCAATGACCACCAGGAAGGGAGCTCTGTGATATTCAACAGTGAGATTGTATTCGGGGAACCGCATGGAGAGAAAGCCTTTGTGTTTGGTTATAGGGTTTCCATTTACTTCATATATGGCCGACTGGTTGGCAACCGCTTGTGCAAGCATGCATAGCAAGGATTCCCACTGGTTTCTTCCAATAGAATCTCCCGCAAACACTATTCTCCCGTTCCGGCTCCTCTCTAGGAAATCTCTTGCATTAAATCTGTGATTAATTAGAGAAAGTAAGCAAACACGAACAAAGCATATATACCGGATATTATATCGCATTTGTATCAATAGTTTAAATAAAATATAGTTATATATCATGTCTGTGCCATATATCAGTGTGTGTAGACTAGTAATGGTATGTCTTTTTTGTGTAAAGAAACCCTTAACAAGAAACAAGAATAGAATCAAAGAGACGTGCATGTCAAGGCCGCCGAGAATCTACCAAGATTATTTATGTATAGTCATTAAATTATACCTGGGAAGATCACAACCGTACGGTTTCCAGCGCCATTTGAGATACTCTACATCTTTTCTTCCATTCTGTCGACATCGAAAACCTGGGTCAAGAAACCGGCAGCTCTCATCATACAACTGAATAGGGTAATTTTCATCTCGAACCCATTTGCCATGGGAGTAATCACAAGCTTCTCTAGATAGATTTAGATTATTTTGTTTGGTACTCCGAGAGGAGAAACGGAAACCAAGAAGGGTTTTAAGAACCACCCATTTAACAACTGTAAGTTACCTTCTTAAAAGGCTGTTGAAAAATTTATAAATAGTATCTCATGCGTCATTATTTCTTATCTAGGGAATAAGAACCAAGTAAGAAAACACACCAACAGTTGACTTTTGGGTCACGTGGTATTTTTTCATTTTCACAAAAAAAAAAAAAAAAAAAAAAGAGTGTTGTAGAGAAAAAGAAACAAAAGAGAATATTAGAAATGGGCCGAGGTAAATGAGAGTGGTCTATTGAGAATAATGGGCCAAGTCATGGTAATACCGAGACAGCCATTTTCCAATTGTCTTCACTTCTCTTTTTCTCACATTTCGAAGCCATTCTGGGTCTTCGCTACTTGAGAATCTCAAGTCTACATGGTGAGCTCCTGTCAACAAAAAATTAAATTCATTCAACACAATTTAAATCTGGTTTACGAAATAATTAATAAAATATAACTCTAAAAGGTATCATTTTATTCCACAAACCTTTTTCAGCAACGATTGCGATCATGCTCCTTGATATACTCTTCAGCACCCTGCATGCATTTAATAAGTAGAAATGATATATGATATATATTTCATATTTATTTGATGCTAAATTATGTAGTCTAATACTTTTTTGGGGATGATTTAAGAGTTAATTACACACATATATATATATATATATAACGGTGAACATAAATAAATTAAAAGCACCCATAAATACCATAAACAAGTTCTGTGTATATATATATATATATATATATATATAGAATGAGATGAAGGGAGAAAGGAGATGGAAAATACCCTCCACCACTCCAAGGATCTCTTAAGCCATTAAAGAAGATAATGTTGCTCCCAAACCTTTTCAACACTCTCTTAATATCCTGTGGTCAAAGCAATTCAAGAAAGTTGAAACAATATTCAACTGTATATGCTAGGCATGCATAAGCAATATATACATTATTAATAGTAGTAAAAAAATAATAATAATAACTTACATATCCACCAAACTCGGTTGAGATCCAATTGGGTCTAGGCTCGACGTCAAAGTAATCATTGCAGAAAGAGGCTCTATCAGTATAACTCCATTCTGAAGGAGGAAATATGCTCTGCTTGTTGTTCCCGTCTGTTGGCATTATCATCTCTGTGCATGCCTTAACCAGGTAAATGATCATAACAACGGCAAGTTAATGATTCAAATGGACAAATAAACAAAAATAAATGGTCAAAAACTTATCAGATTTGAAATGGGATTTCTTTTTTCTATTGCCAAGATAAATGATCCTATACCATAATTCACCCTTTAAAATGGTCAAGGAGGATTATTCAATGAAAAATGTAGATCATATTTAAATAGAGAGGAACAACAAAATGTTAGAGAGAATCATGGCTTTGTGATTTAATTTTTAAATCAAATATTAAAAATTATATTAACAACATGAAATTTGTATAGATTAATGAAATAAAGCCTTGTATTTTAACTTGAATAATTAAATTTATATAATTTCCCATCTTAAATAAATAAAATTGGGTAGAACTTTAAGTTCCGAATTTAACTAGTCAGCAATTTTTTAGTTTCATTTCAATCATTTATTGATTTTGGTTGCTTAATATGTAAACTTTACTAATAAACATTATATTTAAGAATTACTAAATTGAAGTATAAAACTATGAAATTTATTTTCGAATACTAAAAATTAAAATAACACGCATAAAAAATATGATTCACATTAAATAATCAATCATTCTACCTTTAAAATGTGATGGGAGACTTGAAGTGTTGACCGTATGTTAAGGTCAAATGATAAGGCACAAATCAATGAACGAGTAAAATTGAATAATATTCGGGTACCTGCCATGTCCACCCTCCGAGGCCGTGAGGATCAGAGTCATCATTAAGATCGAAACACGTGGCAGTTCCACTGTAGTTATAGTAGATATTAACTGCAGCGTATAATTTTGCAAACATGTCGTCCCCATTTTTCGGATCGTCAATGGCCTTACACATCTGGACATCACATGATTCATATCACACGGTCAATATTTCTTGCTTCTTACTATTGAGAAGGTATTTCATTGGGAAGAAATCAGATTGGATCTAAAATAAAAAATACACATTTCTTTTGATCGTAATCAGATTTGTCAATTAAAGAACCAAATTAATACCTGGTTTAATCCTTATTTTCTTCTTCTAAATAAAAATAATATAAGATAATATTAAAATTTATAACTCCTCTAAACTATTATAAAATATAAACTCCTATAAATTTTAAATATAAATAAATATTAAATATTAAAATATATACAAATTCAGTACAGATGTGAATTAAATTTGACTAGGTTCAAAACACATTCTTTTGGCCTACACCAAAAATTTATTTTTACTCAAAAAATATTAGAAAAATTGACAATTGTTTCTTTTGAGTGAGTCTACTTGATCATGAACCCAAAAAAAAATAATAATAAAGGAAATAAACTTGCAAATTAGTGATAATTGATAATTAATTAACATAAATCAGACCTGTTTAATTGGATAAGCCGGCAGGGGATTTAGAAAATTTGATGGAGTTGGATAATCTGTCATCGCTGAGTATATATATGCAGTCTCTAACCAATTCTCCAGAGCATCGCCACTAATATAATTCCTAAAATTACAAAAAAATAAAAATAAATGTAAAAAAATTTAATAAATACTGATTTGTGCATATAATTTTAGTTATATTTCTATAATTTTATTCTATAAATAATATATAATAGCGTGCATATTTATCAAAAATAAATAACTATAAAATAATTTTACAATAATATTCATTTGAAATGAATGGAAAATATATTTTATAAACTTATATATATATATATATTGAAAAGTCAAGATATTAGATCATGGGTAATTCTATTTTAGTGCTAAAGATGTTTTCAAATCAAATTATCTCTGATATTCAAGACTAAATACTTCTTTTGAATATGTTCACATTTTTATAACAACACTATGGATAAAAATTTTAATTAAAACATTAATATAAAAATCCATATTCTTGCTAATTAAATTAAATATTATTTTTAAAATAAAAAAATTAATATTCTTACTTGCAAATTCTAAATGATTTCCTGAGCGACTCGAGCCCTCCTCTTTGTTTTGCAGTGTCATCAATCTTTTGCCACGACTCTTTTATCACTTTGTAACAGTTTTCAGATTCGCTCTGAATTTGCCACATGCAATCAACTAGTTAATTCCAAATTAACATAGATAAAGTATTAGTAAAATTATTATTTTTATAAAAAATATATTTTTTTTCATGTTCAAGTAAAAAATAAAAATTATGCTGCAATTTTACTTACCAGAATTAATACGATAATAAATAAATAAAGCGAATGAAATATTTTAACCTAAATATAATGATAAAGTTAATTAGTATTAACCCTGAAATCTTGAGTGATAATGTCGTTGAAGCTATACGGAGACGTTAAGTTCTCAAAATTCAGAATCGGAGCAGATGAAGCCAGAGCTCCCATGGCGACATGCGGGTATTTCAACCGAAACCAAGCTGCTAACACTGCAGAGTCCAAAAATATTATATTAATTTATTAATAATAATTCAATAAAAACAACAATAATTTTAAAACATTATTTTCATTTCGATCGCATCCCAAATTCCTATGAGCCAAACAGAAAAGAACAGAAAATCAATAACTCATACTTCCGCCATAGGAGCCGCCGAAGACGAATACAGGGGAATCAGTTGCAGTCAAATTCTTCTTCAGATCAATTATCAGAGTTGCGTAGTCAGCCAAAGCCTGAGTCGAACTCAAGTATCCGAGAGTGCTTGAATTGCTGTTAGCGACATCTTCGTCGCCGCCGAAAGGAATTGATTTCCCGTAAAACCTGTGCTGCATTTCACATTTAAGTTACCGGACCCGGTAATTTCACCATAAATCCTGTTTGGTTCCCGGGAAAAAGAAAAACAGGAGAAAGAAAAAGAAAATAACATATGACTTTTTTTTTTCGCTTACCTCGATAAAAACGAGAAGCGCTTTGAAACGTGGAGCAATCTCGAACATAAATCCTGTATTCTGCGCAAACCATTCGATATCTCCTTCGTTCCCCGTGTAAACGAAGATTGGAGAATTCTTCTCGGCGCCTCCCCAGTAAGTGTCATTAACTAGATACCTCTGTTGAAAAACCTGGTAGCTCTGGGGATGGAAATCGAAGTGATCGAGAATCTGAGTGAAGTACTCAGTTCTGTAAAGCTGATTTTCTTCGTAGACAGAAAGCTGCTCCGGTCTGATGATTGAAGACGGGAATCTGTGTCTGATTGTGGCAGATGAGATAGGAGGAGAGAGGAAAAAGAAGAGAGAAAGCCAGAGAAACACGAACTCCATTGCAATTTTCTTCATGCTCTTGTGAGTTGTGGAAATTGAAAGGGAGAATTGGAGAAGATGAGATTCTGATTTTGAAGATAATTTGGATTCTTATGAGAATTAAGCCATTGGAGAATAGGAAGTTGAGGTGCTGGCTAGATTCTAGATAACTTCCTTTTAGGACTATTGACTGTATCTTAGCTGGAAGTGGGACTTGAAAGGTAAACAGTACTAAGAAAGGATAACTGAGAATGGGCAGACTCTGGCGGTCTAAATCTTTTTTTGATTTAATTTAATCAAATTTAAAATATGTAAAATTCAATTTTAAAATTTATTAAATTTAATTTTTTTTTTTGGGTTAAATAATTTTATATTTTTATTAAATAAAAAATGTGCTTATGATTTGTTTTGAAGGTGTGATTGCATGAAACTGAGGGACCCACTTGGGGTGACATTATCATATCCTCTCAACTCAATGGAACACGAACCTAATATTCTCTATGTGGACTGACATAATATATGCATTGAATTAGTTGGAATTAATGATGGATTGTAATAATAATAATTGAAAAATAATGTCTTTATATAACTTTTTAATATTAAGATAGTATTTGATGTATTTATAGAATATAACATAATGATAAATAGTATTACTAAATAAAGTTAAATAAAAACTAAACTATTTTGTGAAAGTAAATTTAAGCATAAAAATATAATATATATTTACTTTAATATTATTGTGTTGCGTTTAAGTTATGTGTCCTATTATAATGTACTTAAAATTAATTTATGAATAATAAATCAGCGAATCAATTAATTATCATTGATTAATAAAAAAATTAAATTAAATTAATAATAATTGTATCAGGTAAATTTAATGTTTACTTTTATTACAAAGTTTAGTTTACTTAAATTATCTATTATATATGAAATTAGATAAGTGATTAACTTAATTTATATGAATTTTATTTATTTTATTAAAAAATAAAAAATAACGAACTCATTTATAATAATTGTACTTATCATTTAACATGAAAATAATTGTTAAATATAATTTATAAAAAATTTATGCATATTTTTTTATTGTACTTTATTTTTTTAAATATTGATGACTTAACTAAAAATTTATATAATAAAATATCGATTAATATTTAATTTTTATTTTTATTTTTCTCTCATTTAAATTTATTTTTATTTTTACTCTCTCTCTCTCTCTCTCTCTCTCTCTCTAAGTTCTAACAAAATTGAAAGCACAAGGTGTAATGTAACACCAAAAGAAATAAATAAAAATTTTATTTATTTATTTTTATTCTTTTTTATTTATTTAATTTTTTATTTAACTTAGTTTAATTTAATTCAATGAAAATATAAAAAATAAAAATAATAAAATTGGTTAAAAATATTATTTGGACTTAATTAAAATTGATTTTGGAAAAAAATGGTGAATTTGGATTCTGTGGGTATTTTTGAAAAGAAAATCGAAAATCAGGGGTCAAAACACAATTTAGAAAAGTTGCGCCACGTCAGCAGCCACGTCAGCGGCCCGGTCAGCAGCCCCTGCCAACCAGAACACGCCGCGTGGCAAGGCAACGCTGACCAAGGAACGGGCCACGTGGGCGATCCGCGTGCGCGCGATCGGACGGCCCAAATCCGTTCCCGCGCACACGGACAGCCCAGATCAAACGTGCGCACGGACGGCCCAGATCCACGCGCATGGACGACCCAGATTCAATCAGGCACGGACAGTCCAGATTGCATCGCGATGAACGGCCCAGATTTAATCCCAATTAAATCGCGATCGGACGGCCCAAATTCAATCTTGATGGACGGTCAAGATTAAAAGGCAAAGGGTATAAATACCCCCACCCACACCTGACCAAAGAAACCCTAGCCGCCAGTGCTCGCCGGAGAAGAAGAACCAGACGCCGGAGGAGCCGGTCGCCGCCACTGGCTGCCGCACCGGAGAAGTTTCCGACGGCCGATCGAGGTAATTTTTCTCCCCCTTGCTTGTTTTTCGAAGCTGAGTCCGCCTATGGCCAAACTGGAGCCAAACCACCGGCCAAATAGCCGGAAAACCCAACCGAAACCCAGCAGCGCCGCCGCGTCCCTCCTCGTTTTTTACCTCCGATGAGGCCCTTCCCGGCCTCCGTTTGATGCGAATTTTATACCACTGTGATCACCGTTCTTTTCTCTACAGGTTGATCAGAGCCAAACATCAAAACACGACTCACGCTGGAGGAGGCGCCGCACCCGAGAGCACCGCCGCCGGTAAGTTTCAATTTTTCGTGATTTTTCAGCCCACCGAGGGCCCTAGGGTTGTTTTATCGCAGGGACCGATGCAAGCGTGGCCGAATTCGGCCGAAAACGGCAAACCTGAGGTGAATCGCCGCCGCTTGCGGTGGCGCCGTCGCTGGAGCACGGCGGAGCCGCCGTGCCGGAATTGCGATATTGGCCGAAAGGGGCCCTAGGTCTAATTTGGGATTTTTTGGGACACGTGCAGGTACCAATAGTGCATTTCAGTTCCCCGGAAAAAATTCAGGGAAAATTAGGGACAGCTTGTAGGTGCACTGTAGAGCCGTATTCAGACCCCAAAACAAGTAAGGACCCCTCACCCTATTTCCTATCACGGTATTAAAGCTAAATAAATAATTAAACTGTATTGTGTGACTCTATAAATGTATAATTGATTAAGGTTGCCAATGGAGCCCGAGTCTGATACTGGGTTGGTCTGTTATTGTTTGATTTAATTTCCAGTATTAAATGCAGCATGATGTTTGATGTAATTATATTATGGTCCCGTATGCATGAATCATGGTTTCCTTATTATGGTCGGTATTATGTTTAACCCGATACTGTGTTGTTTTGTTTGGTGTCCATTACTGGTTTACATGTTGTGTGTGTTTGGTTGATTGAAACCAAGAAAAAGGTAAAAAAGGTTATGTGAATTGATAGTGGATATTGTGGACAGTCTGACTAGATATCCTGGGAGATGGTGGACGGACCGGGTTCGTAGGGAACCCTACCGGGAATGTGGTCTCTCATACCGGACGGGGTATGGAGACCTTATGTGTTTAGCGCCCATACCGGACGGGGTATGGGAACGGCCCTGGAATCAGGTTATAAATATTAAGGGTTCACGTGTAACGGGACCCCTATGGATACTAGTAGGCTGGTAAATGAAGAAAATATGTTGTGTAATGATTGAAATGCAAAGGCGTGGTAAGTATTATGTTATATAGTTCATATGATTTCATGATGATGATAATGTTATTGCTTCTTATGTGTTTTATGGATCTCACCGAGGTAAATAGACAGTAAAGGATTTTATTATGATAAAAGAATTTGTTATAAATTATGCTCCATTGGTCTTTTTGTGTTTTCTACCCACCTTTACCTTCCGTGGCGGTGAGATAGTGTGATGTCTTTACTGGGCTGGTGTAGCTCATTCCTTATTTAACCATTTCAGATCAGGAAGACATTGTTCCCGAGCCCTTTCCGCAGGAAGACGGCGAAGGGGACGCCCAAAGACTCCGTAGTTATATTTATAGTTCTTATTTTCGAGTATCTCTTTTAGTTAGTTTGTTCTTTTATATTTTGAGCACGTTTTTGGTTTTTGTGTAAGGGATGTTAATCAAATTTTTATTACATTTCCGCATTTGACATTTTAATACACATATTTCATTCTAAATTTCCGGGACCGTTACATGTAACGTCCCATTTTTTTTTATTATTAGACGTACTTAACAAGCAACCAATTCCATAACAAAACGGTCATGCACAAGGAACCACTAACATAATCCATTATCCAATGATCAAGATAGTCCTACAATCATGGACAAGACATCGCACACAATACAACCATACTCAATATCTTTACTACCATCAATTCTACATATTCCATTCAGTCAAAACAACACGAAACTCTTTATCCTGTACTCTACACACTAGGTTCGGAATCCAACAACTTCGATCCAGACTCCGTCCCTACATCATCTGTAAAAAGGAAACACTAACACTATCCAATGATCAAGATAATCCTACAATCATGGACAATACATCGCACACAATACAACCATACTCAATATTTATACTACTATCAATTCTACATATTCCATTCAGTCAAAACAAAACGAAACTCTTCATTCTGTACTTACACATTAGGTTCGGAATCCAACAACTTCGATCCAGACTCCGTCCCTACTTCATCTGTAAAAAGAGAAAGAGCTAGTTCATTTAACTCAGTACGGTAAAACTCAAAATATATGCGTGAGGTGCAACAATATAAAACCTTATGCCTTTACCAATAGTTCACTACTGAACACTAAATTTTCCTCCTGCACTTACAACTCTACCTACCCTAGGTGTCCGTTCCCTGACGGCACTCTAGGCGTACCAGTGGTACCATTCACCGCCAAGATTTGGCAACCGTTAACACCTATCGACCCCTAGTGGCCACACACGCACACTAGTTTCAATCATTTTCGTCACCATCAGCGGCGACCATCATTCATCTATCGACCCCCTATCAGGCCACACACACACACTCTAATCCTTCTCTCCCGTCACCACCATCGGCGACCGTTCGCCATCTCACGACCTATACCAGGCCACTCACATACCCGATTTTCCTTCACTTGCGTCACCAACATCGACGACCGTTAGCCATCTCTCGACCTATACCAGGCCACTCACACACACTCTGACCATTCCCTCTCGTCACCGATATCGGCGACCACTAATCATCTCTCGACCTATACTAGGCCACGCACGCACACCATTTTCATTCATTTGATTTTCGTCACCAACATCGGCGACCATTAGCCATCTCTTGACCCATACTAGGCCACTCACACACACTCTGATCATTCCCTCTCGTCACCGATATCGGCGACCACTAACCATCTCTCGACCTAGACCAGGCCACGCACGCACACCATTTTCATTCACTTGCGTCGCCAACTTCGGCAACCATCGTCTACCTATCGACCCCCGTCGGCCACACACACACCCACCACTCCTTCTCGTCCACTGTCTCTCTCACCGCCCGCTGTCTGTGACATGTCCTAATTGCCCCCACTCACCCCGTCATT